TCAATACATATTTGATTTTGGGTTTCGAAGTATGGTACGCTGGAAGCATACAACTATGAGCATATGCTTATTGGGAATGCATATCTATTAGACAGAAAACGTATCTACAGAACAGAATATGAACCAGTCGCCGAGAGGAGTGCGGTTATTTATGTATTTATTAATTGATATAACATGGGATTTACATATTTATCCAAGGGGAGAGGAAAGCCGAAAAGAAGGCCTAAATATATGGCGAACTACGGCCTCTCTCAATCATAGCTCTGTCCCCCATATGATTCACATGGCTCTGCGAGCTATTCGTTTACTTATTAAAAATACTGATTTCAACTATAAATTACTCTGGGATATCTTGCCATTGAAAACAAAAGCCAGAAATTGGAAGAAAAGCAGGGAATGAAATGTGTGTATTATGTAATGGAGAACCTGAGTTTGTTTCACATATTTTCATGTATTGTAAATTTACAAAAAATATTTATGAAGATTTTGTTTTAGATATATTAAAATTGATTAGAATACATTTTGTTATCAATATGATTCTTGTATATTATTCAATTTTAACGATCCCTTATATGTTCGTATAGATACTGTTGATTTGGATGCAATTATACTTTTGTAATCAACAGTGAGAAATATTTCATGACTGCTATTAACTATGTGAGCTATTTTTTCTGCAATGCAAAATATTTCCTTCGTCTGCTATTTACTATGTAAATTAATTTTTCTGTAATGTAAAGTATTTCCATAACTGCTTTTACTATGTGGGCTGTTTTTTCAGTACTCTCGTAGTATGTGTTCCAGGTTAGGTTACGATTCTCCTTATTCTTGTTCTATTAAAAGTTCGCGAATTGTCTGTGTTACACAAGTGAATATCCCCCTACCGATAGAATTTAGTCCATTTACACAACTTGATATAAAGTAGGCGAACAAAATTAGTTACCTTCATATTGGTACACATACGGTACTTCTGGAGAACCATTTTTTTTTTGTAATGTAAAATATTTAATATGTGAACTAATTTTTCTGTAATGCAAAATATTTTCTACAGCTTCTGTATTTTTTATATGTCACTTTCATTTCATCGATAATACACATTGTTCATTCTTTGTGGAGTTTTTGGTAAATTTACAGATGTAATAAGACCGACATTCAGCTTTTTCTGTTTCACAACTGTAATACAAAAAGGTACTCTTGCAGTATGTAAACCCAGTTGGTAGACAACGGAACCATGTGTACCAGGTTTGGGAATACAAACATTCCCAAACTTTTCAAGCCGCACCCACTTTTTAGAATTTGTGAAGTCTTGCGCCCCACCTCAAAAATAATTAGCTACAAATAACAGTAATAAGGCGTAAGTATGTTTTATTGGAAAAACATGTGGAAAATACATGGATGGAACGAAATAAATGACAAGTTTTGATATGCAAATATTTACAAGTTTTGATATGTATAAAATTAGCCAAGTCCAGAAGTCAGTATTTTAAACTAATAGAGAGAGAGAGTTTATTTCGTTTGTCAAACCATGAACATATATAAATTATAATAAATAAAAAAAACAGATGCTCAGGTGTTTGACTGGGAGACAACGTTACAACATTTCGGGTCATCGGACAGCGACAGCAAAAGCAAAGAAGAACGAAGGCTGCGAACTCCAGCCAGTTCACATATGCAGTGGTGGTTGGAGCCGAGTAACTGGAACCAACTGTCTGGCGAATTAGGGCTCAGACTCCACACACCAATGCATATGCAATAACCAGACAAGAAATATAAATAAAATAATAAACAATAACAAATAGTACAACTCCAGTCCCGCCACAACTGCATAAAAATGGGTTAGCGAGGATACCTATTATTTGCAAAATTTGTCTACTAAAAATGAATGTAATAGGACATGGATTTTTTATAAGCACAGATGGGGAAAATTCTATTATTATAGCACTTTAATGATAAACATTTGATAATAGTAATGAAATCATGAGTAGATTTCTTTATACACTATAATTTGAACACATCAAATTATAATACTTGATTATGACTGGCAAGTGATTTGGAGGATAGTAACACACAATAATACATGATCAGGATTTGACCCTTCTCCAGCAGATATATATATATATGAAATAAAGTTTTCATGTACATATCTATATTCGGCTACAGAGCACGTAACATAGAATGAATTTGAAGGCGAAATATTGATAATATACTGAAATAGCAATGATATCCAATAGGTTATTTTTAAATAAGTATTACCGGTACTAACAAATAAATAAAGTGCACATATACATATAGATATTTGGATACAGAGCAAGTATCATAGAATGAAATTTAGGGCAAAAAACTGATAAAATACCAGAATAACAAGTATAACAAGAGAGCTATGCTCAAATATATGGACACGTAGCGCCACCCAGTGGCAATAATTTTGATGACGTCATAGCGAAAAAAAAGTAATAGCCTTCTGGAGAAACATTTTATCTTTAACCACTGAAAATATCAAAGCAATTGGTCCAGTATTCGAAGAGAAAGGCGATTTTTAAAAATGGAGACGGAGACAAATAACAATAACAACAAAATTTTGAAACGATCGTTATGGCCACTAAACGTGTCCAATACACATTATGATACTTTTAAATGAAGTATTACTAAAAAATAAATAATGTGGTCATGTACATAGATATTTGGATACAGAGAAAGGGGTCTGGTATAGTTCAGTACCACAAGTACTTCGAGTGGGCGTAGCGTAACGAATTTTGCATATGCTATTCCTAACCCCCACCTGACTATGCCATCCAAAAATTACGTCACTACGACGTCACCATCACGTCATAGGGATTGCCAAAGTATAATTACAATCGCCCGAAATGACATCTGCACCGCCGATAACGAACTTGCTGAAGCCGACGATCTCTCTCCTATCGTGATCGTTGTGACGAGAAAACGGGAGAAATTGAGTGCTCGATTTCGGGTGATCGTCTGCGCGTTTTGGACGACCATCCGCATACTTCGGTGGGCCGGCCTTATTACGCCACTGTGACGTCGAAATATGGATGCAAGTATTATAAACAATTTGATATTTTTATAAAAAGTGTTACTAAAAAATAAAACGAGAATATCGGTTGGAAACCGAAGACTTATCGATCCATAGTTAGGGGATCCCCAAAACAGAAACTGCAGTTTCGATTCATCCGCTCTTGTAACTTGCGCACTGCGCATCGCACACACACACACTCGGCGGGTCTCAAAATTCTCTCGCTTTACAAAAATCTTGATCAATAATTCACTATATCAATATTTGATTGATAACTCGCTAATTATACGACATAATTCGCTCAAAATCAATAGGCTTCTGGTCCGAGATAAGATGAATGCACATGCAAAATCTGGAGCAGATTCAATCTCGCTTTCGTGAGATATGGCGTGCATCTAACAGACATACAGACAAATACCTATCAACATACTTACCGGTTAAAATCGATAAGTAATAATAGATTATGGAGTCCAGCAAGTGTGCTCATAACAAATAAAGAGATAGCAATTCATTTACCACAGTGAATTAAATTCATTACACATTACTACTTGCTATAACACAGCGGGCACATGATACTCATCGTGTTTTGAACTTTTTTAAAGGTTTTGCTCGCTCTCCAGAATTTTTTTATTTTTTTTATTTTTTTTTTTTATTTTTTTTATTATTATTTTTTTTTTCTGTTACGGATCAGAATTTTCCAGTTTCGGATCAATGTCTAAAAGACACGTCATATCCGAGTCTTATCGGTATAACGCTTCATAAGCATACCACTGCGTGAGCAGCAGTCATACAATTAAGGAGGCTTCGGTCTTAGCTGCGCCATAGCATGGCACAGACTTCCACCCAGGGGTTTGGTATATGCTGTATATCACATCAAAAACTTTTTCCGGGGCTTCGGACTATACCATGCGGGGCACAGAACGACCTAGGCCACCTCGGCGTCCCGCCGACCCGGCTTCCGTACACACTGTGTGAAAACGTGTAACACGCACACAGCATGACATTCACCGTGAAGCTTCCGATTCATCACTTCCGCTGTATTAGATGGTATTATCGGGTTTATGAAAATGTGGTGTTCTGAGGGTTTTGTCGTTCATGTTGTTACAGGCAGAAATTTAACTTTCGTGAATTAACCTATTAGTTTTAGTTATTCTGGTCCCGATAAACATGTTCAGACTTGCTCCCGTTTATTTATTTGTTTATTTATATTAAGCGTCACTGACCGAGAGAAAGTTTGAAGTCTTGGCAATGATGGTGCAATACTCTCTTATATCAGCTGATTTGTATTCATGCCCTTGTTATTCTTGTTGTATTATACTAAATGTCCTATTTATTAGTGTGGGAGACAGTGCAATGAGGCCCGGTCACATGAATTTCTCTGTTAGGTGCTGCGGTTACTTTGCGGCATTGATTTGCAAATTGTAGGGATTTAATTATGCTAATTTAGAATTGCTAAGATATTTAGGGAAGTTTGTAGTTTAGGAATATTAAGTAATTTAGGTTCTAATTGAGTTGCATATGAGGCTAATCGTATTTTCTTGTTTTTGTGTCTTGTAGCTAAATTTAAGTACTGTTGTTGGGTTGGAGACACAAATATATTGTAACCACATCATACAATACACACCATACATTTACATACAGACATCAAGTTTTTACATTCACTGTGTTACACTGCCGTTATACTTGCTGTGGAAATTTATCTATCTACTGTGGAACTTTTAACCCGATTGTGGAATTTTACTGGACTGTGACTTGTATATACTGTAAATATACTTTCATTACAAGTTCTTTCATACAAGTTGGATGTGTTTATGTGTGCGTTACTACTGTGTCGAGAGTTAGCTACGGAAGTAGATTGACAAGACAGCCCAATAATCAGAAATAGGACCTGTAGAACCTCTTAACTCTACATTAAGTTACAATATACCGGTAAGTCTCGACTGTTGTCTCGAAACTTTAAAGTCAAGTGAAGATGTCAACTGTTTCTGGATCAACTACTAAGTCATGTATGTCTGAAAGAGCAAAGGCAGAGAAGAGATTGCGACTTGCAAATCTGAGAAAGCAACAAATTCTGAAGCAAGCTGAGTTGAAACGTAAGCAAATTGAATTAGATTCTCAAACTTTAGCAGCCGAAGCAGATGCTGAAGAAGCTCAAATTGAGTATGATATGTTGTCAAGTGCTAGCCATTCAAGACAAGGCTCAGTTATTGACGGGTCAACATTTTATGGATTTGAGGCTCAATCTAGTTCTGAGAAAGTTGTCAAGTCAACTCCGATTACTGATCATTTGAAGTTATTAAGTCAAGATGATGTGGCTGATACGTCACTTCCGCCTCCTATGAAACCATCAAATGTGTCGGACTTTGATCCAGAGAAAGCAAATAGAATCTTGCGGCAAATTTTTACTCCTATGGCAAAGGATGACAAAGGATGTATGTTGGATCCGAACGTTCCATTCATATCAAATGAGAATCAAATTCCATCACCTGCGAAGAATTTGGTGAGTGATATTATGCATGATCATAGATTTGATGCCAGTACAAATCAGCATCTCATTCGCTTGATCCACTGAAGTGCCGAATGTTGAACCTGTAAACAGGTCAGCAGCCCATGAAATTAAGATTGAGTCACCGGGTACTATAAGAAGCCATGCTAAGATGGAATATGGTATGCCGGATCACACTGTTCATGCGATGGCGCAGCTGACGCAAGCTTTACAGGGAGGAATGCTGAATGTAGCAAATATCATTAAGCAAGGTTTAATGTTCCCTCATATTAAGATGACAACATTTAAAGGAGAAATTCTCAAATATACTGAGTTTGTTCGAGAGTTCAATACTTTTATTGGTTCGAGTCAATTGGATGTTGCTCAAAAATTGAATTGTTTGATTTCCAATTGTGAAGGTTCTGCTAAAGAAGCAATATTGTCATGTGATTGTGAAGAGATTTCCAATACAACATTTATGGAAGTTTGCTCACATTGCCAATGAGAAGTACACCAATGGAGATCTTGTTAATTTTGATACACTTCTTACGTTTATGGAGACAGTGTCAAATGTGAATAGATCTGGATTTGGTAAGCTTGCACTTGAGACACAAAAGGGAAAGAGATATGTTGATAGTCCGAGTCAGCGGGGCAACCGCAGTGTGTCATCATTTCTCATTTCTGAAGAGTCATCTTCTAAAGCACCCACAGCTGATTCTAAGTTGAGTAATGCCACGTTGAGAAAACCACTACGAGAGTGCGTTGTGTGCAAATCTGATCATCAGTTGTGGAGGTGTGAAGAATTTAAGAAAAGGAAAGCCAAAGAGATGTTCGAGATTGTTTCCAGGAACAAGTTGTGTTTCAATTGTTTGCTTCCATATCATTTTGCAAGCCAGTGCAAGTCAAATTATCATTGTAGAGCACCAGGTTGCAATAGAAGACATCACACACTGTTGCATGTTAATAAGAAGCCTGATTCAGTGAAACCAAATGGTAGTACAGATGTGCAATTACCTCAAGATGTGAGGTCTAATGAGGTCGGAGCTACGACCGCCAATGAGGCCGGTGTAACTTCGACTCAGTTGTGTGCTACTGAAGTTAAACCTGCCACTTTTATAAGAAGAAAGGTGGTTCCTGTGCGAGTATGGGGAACCGATAATCGATCATACGACACATATGGATTCATTGATGATGGCAGTAATGTTAGCATTATCAAAACTGAGCTTATGAAGAAACTTGGTTTACAAGGCAACAGCGACCCACTCGTAATTAAGACGTTGGGTGGAAAAATTGAACATAAATCAAGTCCTGAAGTGTCACTGAATATTCAAGGACTCAATGAAACTAGGATTATTCAGATGCATGGAGTTCGAGTGTTGGACGATCTTCCCTCGGATTTGGAATGCAACATACCGTCTAATAGTGCGATGGCGAAATACGAATACTTGAAAGATATCAATTTTCCAAATGCAAAGAATGCAAAAGTTGAAGTCCTGATTGGTGTAGATGTGCCTGAAGCTCATGCGTGTTATGGAATGCGACGTGGGAGTAATTCAGAGCCATTTGCTGTACATACTGGTCTTGGATGGGCATTATTCGGGCCGGATGGTAAATTTCATCAACCAAGTGTAAAACATCTTGATTGGATTCATTTGGATAATGAAGAATTGCATGTTCAGATGGAGCAAGCTTTTCGGAATGAATTAAAGGATTCTAAGGTCAGTGGATTTGACACTTTACCCTCTATTGAAGACAAACAGGCTTTAAAGATCATGAATGATTCAATTTGTAAAGTGAATGGAAGATATCAAGTCAAGATTCCATGGAGGTCATCTAATATCGAGTTGCCTGATAATAAGCAAGTTGCTGAACGAAGATTTGAGAATTTACAGAGACGTTGTGTCAAAGATTCTGGATATTATGAAAAATATAAAGCCAAGATGGATGAATACATCTCTAAAGGATATGCTAGTAAAATTGAAGACCAAGATTTGATACACAAGAAAAATACATGGTATATTCCTCACCATGGGGTTGGAGGAAAATTTCGAATTGTTTTTGACGCGTCTGCCAAGTGTAACGATATATCATTGAATGACAATGTTTTAAGCGGACCACCGGAAACAAGCAGTTTGTTTGGTGTCCTTACAAGATGTCGCGAAGAGAAAGTTCTGATCATTGGTGATATTTCTGCAATGTATCATCAAGTTTTGGTTGCACCGGAAGACAGAGATTCTCTGCGGTTCCTTTGGTGGCAAGATGGAGATTACAATCAACCAGTTGCAGAGTATCGTTGGAATGTTCACATTCTTGGTGGCTCTTGGGCTCCTAGTGTATGCTGTTATGCCCTGAGGAGAGTTGCTGTCGACAATCGAGATCACATGGACAAGGAAACCTTAAGTGCAATTAATGAAAATTTTTACGTCGATGATTTGCTTCGGTCAGAGCCAACCGTGGAAGATGCAGTTCATCGTATAAAGGATTTGTCCTGTCTTCTTGATGGTTCGGGATTTCATCTTACTAAGTTTTTGAGTTCTCAACCTAAAGTTTTGGAAACTATCTCTGAAGCAGATAGATCACCTACTACAATAAGTTTTAATTTTGAAGAAAATATGTCACAGAAGGCATTGGGTTTACTGTGGGATGTATCTACTGATGCATTTCGTTTCGAAGTCAATATTGAGCAAAATCCATATACAAGACGTGGATTGTTGGCGATGCAAGCACAGATTTTTGATCCTCTTGGTATTTTGGGTCCCTTTTTGTTACCTATGAAGAGATTACTTCAACAATTATGTGCAGAGAATTTTACCTGGGATCAACAGTTACCTGATAAAGCTATTGATTTATGGAAAAAGTGGATGGTTCAACTTCCTGAATTTAGAAAAGTTTCTGTGCCAAGATGGTTCAAAGGCTCCAAATATGGTGATTGTACAATGCAGTTGCATACGTTTTGTGACGCCTCTGAAGTTGGTCTGGGAGTTGTGAGTTATGTTCGAGTTGAAAGCAAAGATGGCAATATACATTGTGAGTTCATTGCTGGAAAATCGCGAGTTGCACCACTGAAGTCCATTTCAATTCCTAGACTTGAGTTGTCTGCTGCTGTCATTGCTGTGAAACTAAGTGCAATGATTCAAAAAGAGTCAAAATATAAATTTGATGGAGTGACATTTTGGTCTGATAGTACATCAGTGCTGCAATACATCAATAATGTCAAAACAAGATTTAAAGTATTTGTAGGAAATAGACTTTCTGTAATACATGAGCATTCTACACCAAAGCAATGGAGATATGTTGGCACTAAAGAAAATCCAGCGGACTTGGCATCAAGAGAAGTCATGCCTGAGAAGTTAAGCAAGTGTGATTTGTGGTTCCAGGGTCCTGAATTTTTAGGAAAGAGTGAAGATTATTGGCCAGAAAGACCAAAAGTTTTGCCAATGAGTGAAGACAATTGTGAAATCAAGAAAACACACCAGATGTTTGCTATAACACAGGAAACAATTGAGAAAACACCAGTCTTTTTCACGTTATTGAAGAGATATTCATCTTGGAGAAAATTACAGAAGTCAGTTGCATGGTTGACACGTTTCAAGAAATGTATATCATGGAAATTTGGTCATGCTAATAAACCTGAATTTTGTAAGGAAGGTTTAACTGTGGATGAAATAAATGCTGCGACTCATGACATATTACATCTTGTTCAGATGGAAATGTTTTCAGAAGATGTGTTTAAGTTAGACAAGAATTCACCATTGTGAGCTCTAACACCTTGTTTGATTGATGGCTTAATATGTGTTGGAGGTAGACTACAGCGATCTACTTTACCTGATGAAAGCAAGCATCAAGTCATCTTGCCATACAATCATCATGTGACTGATCTCATCATCAATTATTATCATTTACTGGAGGGACACAGTGGAACACTGCATGTCTTATCTGTTATTAGACAGCGGTTCTGGATCATCAAAGGTCATTCAGCGGTCAAACGTAATCTTCGTCAATGTTTGAAATGCAAGAAGCTGCGAGCTAAACCAGGTTCGCAAATTATGGCACCGCTGCCTGAATTGAGAGTTAAACCAGGAAACCCACCATTTAGTGTAACTGGAGTGGATCTTATGGGTTATTTTCATGTCAAATCTGGTCGAAGTGATGTGAAGCGATGGGCTGTGATATTTTCATGCATGGCAAGTCGAGCAATTCATATTGAGGTCGTGAACAGTTTGAATACTTCTGACTTTATCAACGCACTGGAAAGATTTGTAGCAAGAAGAGGTCCTGTATTGGAGTTGATTTCTGACAATGGGTCAAATTTTACTTCTGCGAATAAAGAGTTAAAGGAAGGACTGAAACGTTGGAATCAGTCTGTGCATGAAACCCTTAGTCAAAAGGGAATCAAATGGAAATTTAACCCTCCTGCTGCGAGTCACTGGGGTGGGTGTTGGGAGAGAATGATTCGATCTGTAAGGAAAATTCTGACTGCGCATGCAGGGGAAAGACAACTGGATGATGCTATGTTTTACACATTTCTCACTAAAGTGGAGAGAATTCTGAACAATCGACCGATTACACCTGTTGGAGACGATTGCAAAGATCTTTGTGCATTAACACCAGCTATGCTATTAACTGGTCGTATCGATCCTGATTATCCATCAGATGTTTTTGTTAAAGCAGATGGATATCGAAAGTCTTGGAAATTGGTGCAGTTACTGGCAATTCAATTTTAGTCAAGGTGGACCAAAGAATATCTGCAAATTTTTCAATCGAAGCAGAAGTGGCATCAACCAGCAAAGAACTTTTCTGTTGGAGACTTGGTTCTGGTAGTTTATGAAAATACACCAAGAGGTTCGTGGCCAATGGCAATCATCGAGGAAACGTATCCAGATCAATTTGGTATGGTTCGACGTGTTCGAGTCAGGACTGCAAAGTCTTCATATGTTCGTGATATTCGCAAATTGTGACATCTTGAAGATGTTTAATAATTTCAATTACTAGTGAACATTTCATGTTTTTTATGTTTAATATTGAAGTTGAAATTTCCTGTTGCCTGAACTTGAATTATTTATAATTAACTCTGTTTTCCCAGAGTTATTTAGAGGCCGGAATGTTACAGGCAGAAGTTTAACTTTCGTGAATTAACCTATTAGTTTTAGTTATTCTGGTCCCGATAAACATGTTCAGACTTGCTCTCGTTTATTTATTTGTTTATTTATATTAAGCGTCACTGACCGAGAGAAAGTTTGAAGTCTTGGCAATGATGGTGCAATACTCTCTTATATCAGCTGATTTGTATTCATGCCCTTGTTATTCTTGTTGTATTATACTAAATGTCCTATTTATTAGTGTGGGAGACAGTGCAATGAGGCCCGGTCACATGAATTTCTCTGTTAGGTGCTGCGGTTACTTTGCGGCATTGATTTGCAAATTGTAGGGATTTAATTATGCTAATTTAGAATTGCTAAGATATTTAGGGAAGTTTGTAGTTTAGGAATATTAAGTAATTTAGGTTCTAATTGAGTTGCATATGAGGCTAATCGTATTTTCTTGTTTTTGTGTCTTGTAGCTAAATTTAAGTACTGTTGTTGGGTTGGAGACACAAATATATTGTAACCACATCATACAATACACACCATACATTTACATACAGACATCAAGTTTTTACATTCACTGTGTTACACTGCCGTTATACTTGCTGTGGAAATTTATCTATCTACTGTGGAACTTTTAACCCGATTGTGAAATTTTACTGGACTGTGACTTGTATATACTGTAAATATACTTTCATTACAATTTCATTACAAGTTCTTTCATACAAGTTGGATGTGTTTATGTGTGCGTTACTACTGTGTCGAGAGTTAGCTACGGGAGTAGATTGACAAGACAGCCCAATAATCAGAAATAGGACCTGTAGAACCTCTTAACTCTACACATGTCGAGCTACCATTTATGGTGGTTGGGGTTGATAGTAGTATTACTTAATTTGAAAGAAAATGTTACTACAAGTTTGATAAATACCCGTTTAGAATATATTTCCAGTTTTCGGTGATTCCAAATATGTTCAGGTTTTCATGTTTATTTTCCAGTTGGGTGAGAAATTCAGTCAGATTTTTCAAGGTTAGTTCCACAATATTGTTATCATTGTTATTTGAATACCTGTCATCGATGTCCAATCTGATTTTTCTTCTCATTATGACACTTTTCATGATGGTGAATCCTTTCAGAATTAATAGTTGTTGCGGGCCTTTATAGCTATTTTCCATTATTTCTTCCCTGGATATCGTAAAACTATGGCTGCATATGTCATTGAAAGCGTCACTCATTTTCGAGGTGTATTCTGCAATTTTGCCACAGTGGAGAAACAAATGTTTTGCACTGTCATGTGGTGTTCGGCAAAATTTGCAGTTTAAAATCTTAAGTTGTCCCGATTGATTGAATCTTACTCCCATGTTTCTCTTTTTGTCTCCGAAAAGATAACCTTTCTTGATAATTCGGTAAGAAGTCACTCTCTCGGAGTTGGAGAAGTTGGTTTGAAAGCTTCTTGTCCGCAGATGAATATCCTCCCAGTTGTGGTCTTGATGTTGATCAATATGACTCTTTTTAAGTTCCGTGTATATGTCCTTGTGACGTGCGGTTTCCCACTTATCTTTGGTGAATTTGATATCATTGAAAATGCTGAGTATATGGATCCAATCTTTAGGAATGGTGTTACTGTGTGGCATGGAGTTGCTATATAGATTAGGGTTAATAGTTTTAATTCTTGTTCCCAATGAGTATAAAGCCTCAAAGTGCCAGAATTGGGTTGGGATGTTACCAAGTACCAAAGGCCTCACTATTTCTACTTTGCATGCTTTTATTTTTGCGTCTGGGTCAATCATATTCATACCCCCTTCGTTCCAGGTCTTTTGTAACGTTCGTCTCCCGATGGCTTCAATTTTTTCAGGATACCACAAGAATTTGAACAATAGGCTTTCAATCTTTTTTATCGAAATTGAGGAAATGGGTTTGATTCGCGAGTGGTATGTTATTATTGACATTATTAGGGAGTTTATGATGGTATGTTTTCCGTACCAGGTTAGGCGCCTTGGTTTTATCGAGTTCAGAGTTCTGGTCAACAGGCTTATAATTTCGTCCCACATTTTGTCCAGGGGTTTATTTCCGAAGTGGATTCCGAGTAATTTGACAACTGGTTTTATGAACTTCTGATATGGAGATCTGGAGATTGAGTTTAGGGCGTTTTCAGTTATACATAGAATTTCGGTTTTGTCCTTATTAATACTTTGTCCTGATGCCTGTTCAAATTTATGGAGTTCCTTGAAAATCTCCCCGATAGATTTTTGGTCTTTCACTGCGAAAGTCATATCATCCGCAAATTGATCGATTTTATATTCGTATGACCCAAGTTTTATTCCACGTATATTACCATTTGCTTGTATTGATCGTGCAAGAGGTTCCACCGTAATACTATATAAAAGCATGCTAAGCGGGCAGCCTTGCCTTATTCCTCGTCTTACCACAATTGGATTTGTCAACCTCCCGTTGACGTCAATGAGGCTTTTTATATCGGTATATATATATATCTTATCACATTTAACGTCTTGCATCCAAGCCCCATGTGATGCAGAATGTTAAGCAGGAAGCTGTGGCTTACGTTGTCGAAAGCCTTGAGATTGTCAATCATTACCAATGATCCTGGTATGCTAAGGGTTCGGCAATATCTTATTAAGGCGTCTACATTATAGTGGGCGTCTACTATGTTCCTGTGGGGTATCGAGCATTTTTGTGAGGGGCTTATGATCTGCTCCATAATTGGGGTGAGTCGTTTAACGATAATTTTAGTGAGAATTTTGTAGTCCATATTAAGGACCGTTAAGGGTCGCCAATTTTTTAAGTTTGATTCGTCGTTTTTCTTATATATTAGCTTCACTTTTGCTGTTGACGAGGATTTCAGAGGGGGTCCAAATGAAAGTATATTATTTATTAATTGGATGAATTTTAATTTAATGGTGTCCCAAAAAGTTGTATAAAATTCTTTACTCAGGCCGTCCAGGCCGGGGGACTTGTTGTTGCGCATGGACTTTATTGTATCAATAATTTCTTCACTGGAGACGGGTTGTTCCAATGTGCGGTTTTCTTCCTCTGTTATTTGTGTATGACTCATTAAGGAGAGATATTGGTGTTGATATAGCTCGTTTGTTTGGTGCTCTTTTCCCCACAGTGTTGAGTAGAAGTCTTCTATCACCGATATTATTTCGTCCTCGCCGGTGACTATGGTGTTATTTTGAGAGATCAGCTTTTCTATGATAGTTTGTTTTGTCCTTCTTTTAATTTTCTCAAGGAAGGTTTTTGTTGGCTTTTCGTGTTCCTCCATGTCACTCATTTTGGCCATTAGGATATCTAGTTGGTTGCGCTCTTCTTGAGATGTTTTTAGTTGAAGTTTTATTCTTTCGATTTGCGGCAGATTCTCATTTTTTCCTTCATTAACGAGTTTGTCTAGACTTTCCCTTAGCTGCGTTATTGCATTACGTTTTGTTTTTGCTTTGTTCTTAGAGTATGCTAATGTGCTCTTTTTTATTCTCATTTTCAAGATATCCCACCATTCTTGTATTACGTCATAATTGTCTAATTCAGCAAGAGCGGCTTTGTATACGTTTTTTGTAATTTCCACATATTTTGGGTCTCTGTATAATGATAAATTATTGCGCCACGTGCCCCTCCCCCATCGCACCTTTTTCATTTGCACAAGTTCAATCATCGGACACAG